TCCTTTTGGACTGCAAAAACAGTGGAAAGATCATTGAGACAGTAGGTTGCACAGGGGAGAGAACAGCCAGAAATATTTCTTGACCACTTCAAATGGGCAGGTTACAAGGGGACAGCTGGGTTTTTAGATGAACTGATCTACTTGATTTTAGTATTCAGCAAACAGAGGAGATGAGGATGGGACCCCTAAGTTATCTCTAAATACTTTTTGTATTTAAGTCAGGTGAATAGGAAAGGAAAATAAACTTATCTCTCTCTCTCATTTTTAGTACCTAGAATAGCATTCATTATACATATCTGCTTGGTGGTAGCAGTGGGAGTCTTGAGAGCCATGCTTCCAGGGTACTACTCCCAGTTTCCAGGTTGGGTTCTGATTTGCTCTGTGACTTGGGATAAGTCACACAACCTCTGAATCTGTAAGCAGTCCCTTTTTTCAAGTGGATATTGATGTAGTTTTAAGATCCTTGGGTGACGTGTTATAACTAAGCTGTTTTTTCTTGTTCTTCCTCAGTGACTTTGTGAACCTGTGAAATGGCAGTGATGGAAATTGCTTGCCAAGGAGCTCCTGACCCAACTGTCAGGCAACAGAAGGAGCTCGCAGCCACTAAAGGGCTAAATGAAACAGCAGGAGAGAAGCAGAGCAGTGTTTGCAAAGTAGAAGAGCCAAGCAAAGGTGCCTTTCCCACCCAGTGGAAGATCCTGAATGATGTGATCACCAAGGGAACAGCAAAAGAAGAGACAGAAGGAAGCTCTGCATCCATTTCTATCATTGCCCAAGCAGAATGTAAGTGATGTAGCATGATGACCTTAAGGAGAAGGGAGGGGTAGGGACTGTAGGACCTACATCTCGGGAGAGCTGAGTTCAGTACTGTTTTTGTGGTTGCAAGTAGGATGGGTGTAATGATCAGATCCCACTCAGTTAGTAAGTTTACAAAATGTTCATGACCAGAAACAAACCTTCCACCATGTTAAGCCGGGTTTTCCTTGAATGTCTTCCAGAAGACATAGTTGGAGAAAAGAAATGATGGGAAATTTGCAGTGTTTTATGCAATGTCTGATACCTGGCAAAAGTTAAACTTAGTAATTCTGCTCACCTGGCATGACCTGGATGGTGATTTACCCTCAAAGATTACAATTTAGCAAGACAGTACCATTGTCTCCTAGAGCAGGCAGTTGCTGTTATCTGCAGAGATTTTTGTCTAGTATGCAAGTTGTATACTGATCTTGTTTTCTTTTATACAGGTGAGAACAGTCAAGAGTTCAGCCCAACATTCTCAGAGAGACCTTTCATTGCTGATAGCAAACGTTACAGGTGAGAGGCCTTTGGAAAAAGGTGCATGTCCAGAGTCAAGACACGCTGCTTTAGCGATACCTTATTTTGACTCCATCGCTACAACCTGAGTGATTTAAAGAACTATGGCATATAAGTTAACAATGGCTAGATCTAAGGTTTCTGGAGAACTTGCAGCATTCTTTTTACCCATGTAATTTCCCCCCCCAAAACTGTTTATAATAGAGAATGATTATACTGCCCTGTAGGTATGTTCTGTATTTAATCAGATGTTTAAAGCTTTTGCTTTACTCATTCTTACAAATCAATGCTTACTGCTGTGACTTTTTGTAGCAGGAGCATTGACTTGATTCCAAGAGGGGCTGAATCACTCTTTCATTTGGGGTTCATGGACTGAGAACAGGATACACTTTTCATATCTTCTGACAGAATAAAGTATCTTTTTGGCAAAGGTGCCTGTTCCTCCCCAAACCTTCCCTTTAAAAAGCTGTGGGGTCATATGTGTTGATGGTGCAGCAGGAACAAACCACAGCCATTGCCTAGTAGCATAAGAGTGGTGTGGGGGTGAATTGGGAGGAGAGGAATAGAAAGACCTCTAAGCCAGTGGTTCTCAACTGGGGGTCCATGGCCCCTTTGGGGGGCCTACAAGAAGGTTTCAGGGGGTCTGCCTTGCTTGGCATGGGGAAGAGCTACCTTGGCTTCTGGGGGCTGAGGTGAGTTCTGAGGAAGGGATGGGGGTGGGTCTGTCCTCTATTTTGTGGGTAGTGTGGTGGGCTGGCAGGTGAGACTCCATACTGCTGCTCAGATGAGTTGGGCCCTGGGGCTCCCTTCTTCTGAGCTCCTCCCACTGCACACGGGGCCATGTGGAGAGTCAGACAGTTGTTGTGGCACAAGTGGGCCATGGAGTCTTTATAGCATGCTAAGGAGAGCTCTGGGAAGAAAAAGGTTGAGAACCCCTGCTCTGATGCTGCAGGACTCGAGCAGCATTGGGAACATGGAGAAAGAAAAGGATAGGATAGAAACTGAAGGAGATGAAAGAGAAAAGTAGCTTCTCTCTGAGATCCATGTATATAGATTGGGATGAGCAGCATCAGTGACTTGCTTTGGGTTTCCCTTCCCAGTCAGGGTGTGCTGGTGCTGCTGCTGTTAGTAAAGGGAGCAGCTCCATAGCAAGCACTAGAGCAGGGGCAGATAATTATTTCGGGCAGAGGGCCACTTACCAAATTGTGGCAAGCTGTTGAGGGCTGCATGGGTACCCTGCCCCTTGACAGGTGCCCCGCCCCCTAGTCACCATCTTGGGACCAGTGTCCCAGGGCCAGCACCATTGGGGCTCAGAGCAGGGTGCAGGCTGGCAGGGGTCTGTGGAGCTAGGCTGGGCTGCACCAGCAAGAAGAGCAGGGAGCTGGCCTGGCTCCATAGAGCCCCTGCCAGCTGGGACCCTGTACTCCTGCTGCCTTGCTCTGGGCCCTGCTGGCACTGGCCCTAGGACACGGGTGAGGGCCGTGCTCCTGCACCTGCTCACTCCCAGGGCCCCCCAGCCCCGCAGTACAGGCAGGGGACAGTACACAGCCCCAACCCTCTGCTCACTGGCAGGGAAGGAGCTGGTGCGGAGCACAGTGCAGGAAAAGGCAGCCCCTCACCCACCCCGTGGCTGGTGCTCCCTGCTGCAGCCACTCGCAGCCCACACGGGGCTGTCTGGAGCAGGCACAGGTGGCGCCACACAGGCTGCAAGTGGCTGCAGCACGGGGTGCTGGCCATGGGGCAGGCGAGGGGCTGCTTTTCCCTGCACTCAGCACCAGCTTGTAACCTGCCCTCACTGCCAGCCTGGGCCCCGTGTGGCTCTGGGCTCGCCTGTCGGGGCCCCACCATGGCAGCAGCAGCTGTGGCTGGCCCCCCCCCGCTTGTCGCGCCAGGCAGTGTTGGCTGCTGTTGCCTGCCCGGAGCTCGCACGCTGGGCAACAGCAACAAACGATGCCCAGCATGGCAAGCGGAGGGGCTGCAGCTGCTGCTGCCATGGCACAACCCCGATGGGGCTTCTGGCTGGGGGCGGGGTGTCAGGTGGGCTTTGTTGAAGGAGCCTTCCAGGGCTTCCCCTGGGTCCTACTGCCCTTGGTTCCTGTCATCTTTGACAGGAACCAAGGACAGATAAATTCTAATTTTCTAAATTTTTTTTAGGGGCCCTACGGGCTGGATAGAATGGCCTTGTGGGCTGGATCCAGCATAGTGGCCTGAGGGGCTTACTTGCCTGTGGCCACTTGAGCATAACTTTTTCTACCTTGCTAATGATCCACTGCAGCCTCCGCTTCCTCCTGACTCGGCATAAAAAGCCCAGGGCTGGATTGCTTTCTTATGAATCAAAGGTGAAGCAGACTGACTGAAAAATCACCCAGGGACCAGCTGAAGTAGTGCAAACTCTATCAGTTCAGGGACATAATTATAATGCGTGCAAGTATGATGAATCAAAAGCCTTGTCTTTGCTTTCCTTGAGCTTAGAACCGAGAGCTCAGCTTATTAGGTTTGCTAAATGTCGTGACAGAAGAGGCTTTGGAGAAAAATGGAAAGGGGTTGAGAGAAACTGCACTGCTGCATGTTTAGGCATACCAAGGGCAGATGTATTGATCCACACAATGCAGTTTAAGCTAAACTTTGGATTTCTTCACATGAAGAGCCGTTTCACCACTTCCTCTGTTCGATTAGTCAATGATTTATTATGACGGGTGTTGAATGACTAAAAGCAAATATTAATTCTGTGAAAGATAAGTCTTTGTTTGTTGCTGCAGGTTCCCCCCTTATTTTGCTCAGAGTGGTGCTGGTTTGCATATCTATGCTTTCCTTGGAAATCTATTTTAGTATTACCATAGTTCAGTTTTACCAACCTGAGGTTTTTCTCTTGCTAAGTCTTGTCTGCCCTATTTCAAAATCACCAATCCAGGTCCTTTCTTTTATACTGATCTGAGCTTTTAAAAAGATCTCTACCTTGTAAGAACTTAACTCTTTATTTTATTTGATTTAAAGAGAGTCAAGTGTAAATATAAATTAAATAAATTGTTCAGCTGTTGTGACCATGGACTTGCAAACCAAGTTATCTGTGACTTTTGATATTATCAGTAACTTTCACTGCCAAGCTTTTCCTAAAGCGCCTTTTTGCGCCTTCCAAAATCAATAAAAAATGACCGCCAGTAGACTGTCTTTCTTTGGGATATCTGTTGCATAATAAATCTTCAGCTGATGCTGTGTATTTAACTGTCTGTGCTGATGTACACATGAGACTATATGACAATTTCCTGCCTTGCTCAAGAGGTGATAATGATAACTTTCAATCCTGGTTTCGTTAGGGAAGCTAGGGAAGATGTGGTTCCAGGGTTAGATTCAAATATATTTTATTCTTTTCTTGGTAGCCGGTCAGACAGTCTTGATCAAATTCCTAACAATGTGGCTCATGCAACTGAGGGGAAAATGGCACCTGCCTGTTGGAGGGCAAGGCATCGTGGCAAAGCTAGGAAGAAACGGCACAAAAAGAAGTCCAGGCTCAGAATACAGACAATGGCCTCTACTAAGCAAGGACCCAGAACACCAGAACAAGAAAGCTGTATGCCGATTCCGGTCCAGGTGAGACCCTTTTGCTCATCTTATTGAGTTGCAAGCAGAGCACGTAGGATTTACATAGTGTTGTTCTTCAAGGTTTGGCTTGAAATTGTCAGTTCTTGCTTAACTTTCTCTTGTCTTCCAGGAAGATGAAACCCACCAAAACACTTTCTTCAGTAATGGCTCCTGGTTTTCAGAACTGTGCAAAGATTCAGTCTGCAATCAGTTCCCATTTGAGAAATCTGGAAAAGTGCTACCCACAGGCAAACTCCCTTCGCTAAGGAACCAACATGCACCACATTTGCACAAGTTGATAAGCCCAATTCAGTACCTTAATCATGTTTGGAAACCACCCTGTCAGAGGAATCATTTGCCTCAGCCAGAGACACTCCATCCCTTCCCCTATAATATATTACAGCCTCGCTTCCCAGCTCTGGACAGTTCTCTCCATGCCATGAAACTGAATGCTCTGGAGACATACCTCCAGGGTGATTTGGCCTATGTGGATGGTGGGCATCATTTACCTGGCTTACGATCAGAATGCAGCTTCCCAAACTGTGTCAGCCAGTCCATGAAAACAAGCACGGACAAACTTTCTGTGGAAGAATACTTGGTGGATGCCTTAAAAGGGAGTGTGAGTCTCGGTGAGCCGCGAAACTTAGCCAGCCTAGCCAAGACGTGGAGAGGAGGCAGTCTGGATTCAAAGGAGCAGTTTCAAGAGGCAAATGAAAATGAAGGGGTCCTGCTTAATGAGGTGATCTATTTCATCCCATGCCTGGGCCAATATGGTGCTGGGCAAAGTATCCAGTATGTTCCTTCATGCATGTCTCTGTCTGTAAGAGAACTGAATGTACGCATTGTCCTAAATCTATTTTTACTGATGCGTCACAAAAAGATCTGTAGAAGTAACTCTCAATCTGAGTCTTATCCAGAGTGTAAATCTCCCATAAAGAATATGCATGAATTCAAATACTGTATCAACTCTTCTAGCTTGTAGAATGTGCCCACATTTACATATGGCTTAAAATGCATCACCAAGAGACATTTGGCATAGTGGGCCTTTTTGTTTGGAAGAGGTTTCTGCCTGTAGCCATCTACAAAGACTTCCTTGGTGTAATTATTTTTCTTTGTAAAAGAACTAGTCCACACAAGTGAACATGTCATAACATTCTGTATGCCATTTGACCGTTAGCAGTTTTTTGTACTACTAAATTGTGCCTGTGAGAGCTGGTCTATTCCATTTGCAAATCCCATGCTTAGTCTCTCATAACCTAGCAAAGAGGTAGCTAGGTGCCAACCTAACCAGCTACATATCTACCTGTCACCTACTTTGGTGTAGGCAGTACTTCCACAAGTGACAGAAGTGCATGTGAAGCTTAGAGGCATAACAGATCTGTCTCTGCTTCAGCATCTTGTCCCACTGGCCTTCTCAGCACTGACCACTAAGTACTTTCACTTGCCCAGAAAATGAACAAAGCAACCTTCTTTGGATGGGGAAGTTACTTGGATCTTCAAGGGAATAGATGGTTTCTCTTTGGGTCAGATGGGTAGAGTTGTTTAGATTACTGATAACCATACAGTGACTCCAGAAGTAAGAATGGAAGGAAATAAGGAAGGTCTTCTGAATTATGTTCTGAGTTTTAAGGGGTTCAGTGGGTTCTTGGGGTGCTTTCTTTTTTTGACTCTCAGCCCATGACTGCACCATGGCAGTGAAGTTCCTTACTTCAGCTTCTCTTTTGACTTCTAACCTTTAGAAACTAAAGCCAGTGGATTACGAGTACCGAGAAGATGTTCACTGGACCAAGTGCCATGGCTCCCTGGGTGTTGGCTCTTTCGGGGAAGTGTACAAAATACAGGACAAACAAACGGGATTTCAGTGTGCTGCCAAAAAGGTAATGTGAAAAAATGTATTGGATGGAGTTGGCTCCCCTTTCTGAGGAGGCACGGAAAGCAGAAGCTAGTTCCCTTTTTATTCCAGCTTCCAAGGACTGTAGGTTTGTTATTCTTGAATCAATAGCTTAGTGTAACCATTCCTAAATATCCAAGGGCAAAGTACAAAGTATAGTCGTGCATATGTCAAACAGCAGAACTAATTGTCTCTATGGATAGCCTTGCTTTTATTGCACGTGTGTACATGCTCAGCCCCCTTTGTAGCAGTCAGGAACTGTGACTTAAATATTCCCCAGGGCATGCTCTGAAGACTAACTATTTTTCTGAGCTGAGAGAGGCTCAGAGGACTCTGGGATTTCTGAAATATCAGAAATGTGTTTATAGCTCCTGAGTTAAAGGTGGTTCCTGAAGTAGTCTGCTTACCTAACTGTATACTTAAAATATGTGCCTGTGCCCCAAACAAAGTGTAGGTGCTTTTTTTCCTCTACTAGATGTGAGAGTGAGCTGATAAAATCATGTGGCACTACCTATTCAGAAAGACAGGATGATCCTGAAGATTTTTTGCAGTACAGGTTTCTCTCGCTTTATGCTGTACATGCGTTCCTGGAAAACTGCGTAACTTGAATTCACATAAAGGGAACCCACTTTACAACGTAAGAAACAGGGATACGTTCCAAGACCTCGACTATATTGACACCCAGACCTATTTCTACCACTTTTACAAGACAATTTTGGTACTCAGCAGCAGCAGACAGTACACACAAGCACAGGGCACTATCATAATGGGGATGGCAACTACAGAAACGCGTGTTGCAGACAACAAGTGAGGAGCAGAGATCCACACAGGAGACCGTATTTTGGTGCGTGTCACTCCCACATTGCACCACACAAAGCAGCTGGCTGCAGGCTTCCACCACACTGATTGCATAAGAGTGAATTTACCTTGCATAAAATGAATTTTTGGTATAAAAAGGGTCATTGCATAAGAGCGAATTGGCATATACAGAATCTGCGTAAAGCAAGGGAAACCTGTATTATCCTTTGTTCTACAAACACAATGAACAATGCCTATACCTACGAAGTGAAGTGAATTTTTATTATAGGCTCTGAAAAGCAGAAGCTGACATAGCCAGTCATGTTTTAAATATTGTACAGTGAACCCAGAGGGATGATTTCTCAAAGTGATGCTTGTAGAGCTTAGTGTTAGCAAGGGGATTTTTTTTTTTTTTTAAGTTTGTCAAACACTCCTGCAGTGGCAGGAGATGTAACTAATAATGCAACTAATAGATCACATTCTCACATCATTTGTACTATTAAATTCAACAACAGGGTTTAATAATATTTAATACAAGAGTTGGATGTAATTTTAAGAATTGCCTTAGTAGTCAGGGCAAACATGATATTGGTAACATGAATAAAAATAGTCAGCGAGTGTTAGGACTTTGTACAAGTCAAAATCTATTTGTGACGAACACCTACTTCACTGCAGAAATCACAAGAAAGACATTGTGGAACCATCCAAGGTCAGGGCTCTGACACCAATTAGATCTAGTACTGACCAGGTATAACCACCTAAAATAAATCCTGCATACAAGGTCTTATCATGGTGCTGACTGTGGCAGTGACCATGCCTTCGTCTGCTGCAAAGTAAGAATTAATGTCAAAAAGATCCACCGTAGCTAAACTACCAATTGCTCTCAGATAAACATCAGCCAAACTAAAGACATATAAAAAATGCAAGCTATTCAGTGAAGAAGTTGTGAAAGCAAATTTTACCTAACAACTCAGCCACTGAGGCTTGGGAAAGCTTAAAAACTAACATGTACAATGCTGCTATAACAGCGTTTGGCAAAAAACGCAAGAAAAAAGCAGACTGGTTTGAAGAGCGCTCTGGAGCCCTTCTACCACTGGTTAAGAACAAAAGGACAGCACTAACCAACTATAAGAAATCTCCCAACACCATAACCATAGCATCTGAGAGGCTCAAAGAGAAATGCAAAAGGAGGCTAAGAGGTATGCCCAAGATTTTTGGCTGAAACTCTATGGTGATATTCAGAAAGCAGCTGATGCAGGTGATAGCTGTGGAATGTACAAAGGCATCAAACAAGCAGTTGGTCTAGTGGAGAAGAAAACAGCTCTGCTGAAAGACTTAAATGGAAATGTCTTTTACTGATAGATAAAAGCAATTTGAGCATTGGATTGAACACTATGGAATTATATGCTCCAGTGAGATTGTCAAAATCCATCATAACTTTGAACTGTGCTAATCCTTAGAGCTCTTCATGTTTAATTTCAATGAGCCTACACTAGAAGATTTTCAGAAAGCCAGTAAATCCATTTCTGGAAACAGGTATCTGGCAAGGACTGCCTGCTGAAATCTACGAATGTGCCAGCAACGGATTACTTTGAAAACTTCATGAAGTGATTCTCCTCTGATGGAAAAAAGAAGCAGTATCACAAGATTTCAAAGATGCTCAGTTTAAACAATTACACAAAAAACAAAGGGGATAGAAGCAACTGTGACAACTATAGAGGTATCTCAGTGTTGAACGCTGTCGGGGGGAAAAAATGTTGCTCAGACCATGCTCTCTAGGCTGCAGTCTCTGGGTGAAAGAATCTGTTCTGAAAGTCAGTGTGGCTTTTGCTCAGATTGCTCTACCACTGATACGATATTTTTGGTCGAGCAACTGCAAGGGAAGCATAGACAAAAATGAATGCCACTGTACATGGTCTTAGTCAATCTGATCTTAGCCTTAGTTTCAATACAGTCAACAGACAGGGCCTCCTTACTTTTCTGAAGAAACTGGGTTGTCCCCCCAAACTGTTGAACATCATCCACTTATTACATCAAGGTATGAAGTCAACTATACTGTATGAAAACAAAGAATCAAATGCCTTTGACGTCAACAGTGTGGAACAAGGGTGTCTTAGCTCCCATGCTTTTTAACATCTACTACTTCTTCATGCATTCAAGGGCAGCAATGATGGCATTTATATTTTAATCAGACTAGATGGAGGCTTGTTCAACATTGCAAGGTTTAAAGTGAAAACCATGGTGAAAGAGCTGGTTATGAGAGGTTTCCTGTTTGCAG